GTAACCACAAGTATGAAACCAAAATCTTACCTAGGATATTTTAACCAAACTATGTATTTTCTTTTTAAGTTGAAATAGTCAATTTCCTACTTATACTATTTTATGTTTCTTTCATATTAAATATTGTTAACTGGTGAAAAATTAATGCAAACAGCATTGAAAGCTTTAGATCTCTGTAGACGCCTAAGTATAATAGCAGAGTATCCTTAATTCATTTTCATATTATAAAAGTAGTATGATTATTAAGCTATAGTTACAGTGATGACAAAAATACATAGAAAAAAAAAAGCATTTAAACTGGGTGCTTAAAGAGTGTGGGAAGAGTTCACTATTATAAGTAACTAAACTGTCTTAATGGATCCTAGCTAGAGCTGACTACAAAGATAGAGTTACTGTTCACATTCCAGTACAGATTTTTATCATGAGTGTGCTACATAATTAAAATGACCTACACTTGACTTGCCCAACTAATATGATCTTGTGAAAATCTGAAAAATTTGGGCCTCCTTGGTGGCACAGGGGTTAAGTCTCAGTACTATTAAGCTATCATCAGCCACTGTGGCCTGAGCTGGATCCAGATTGAGTTCAATTCTCTGGCCAGGTTGCTAAGCCACATGGCGCAGCAGACTTCTCCTGTCTCACCTACTGCTCCCTTCAGCAGTGGATTTCAATGGATGTACATGTTCTGCTCCCCATCCTGTCTCTGCTGAATCCTCTCACCCCACACCTCTAGTCTATACCTCAGTTCTTGTATGCATAAATATATAAAAATAAATCTTTTCTCTGCCTGTGTATTTTTTTTTCAAGATTTATTTATGCATACAGAACTGGGGTATAGGCCAGGGGTACAGGGGCCGTGAGAGGATTCACCAGAGACAGAGTGGGGAGCAGAACAGGCCTACTGACGAAATATACTGTTGAAGGGAGCAGCGGCGGGCCAGGAGGGGTCTGCCACGCCATATGGGTCACCTCCAGGGCAGGGATTGAATTCGTGCTGAAGTGGCTTTAGCTTCTTAAGTGCTGAATTTACCCACTGCACCACTAGGGAGGGCCCTCTCTTCCTATGTTTTTATCACAATAAATTAAGACTACCTACTACACATTTGATCCTCCTGCCCCTGGTCCATATTTCTGGCTAGAAACCACATGCTTGCTGCTCTATCCAACTGTTTGTAGTAGTTTTACCATTTCTTTGTCAGCTCTGCACTACTTTTTCTCTCTGATTTTCAATGAACTATATACCCCACTGTTTTTCACAATAGTGACTGCTGCACTTATATAGTGCATAAAATAAATGACCAGTTTTGCCCTAAGCTTTGAATCAGGTCTTTTTCAGAAGTTTGTTACAAAAGCAATGAAATGTGGTTCAAATAATGGTAAGGAAAAAAAGTTGTACATAAAATATACTAAGTTTTCTGTGGAACCCTGGACTTTTTAATAGTTTAGAACTTCAGGATTTGACATAACCTCTTCTAATTAAAAATAAATAAATAAGTGTTCAAGTAAATGCTAAGTTAATCATATATATGCTTTCCACAAACTAGAAACCCCTATGTAATAAATTGTACTTTCCTATATTTTGGAGGTTTGGGGACCCAGATAAAACAACTGTATAACTGTTATTATAAATCATAACTGATTCTATTAGTTAACTAGTGTTTTAAAAACATTACACATTTTACTTATTTTTTTTAAAGTGCCAACTTTAAAAAAGTTATTTACAATTAAATAAACTTTATTACAGGATCAAAATTACTCAAAATACATATTTGTATGGTAGTTGTTGGCAAAATGATCCTGAAATTGGTAGTTGAATGTTCTGATGAACCTCAGAAGGGGAAGTTAACCTTGGCACTTGTCTAGGAGTAACTGGGCCCTTGGAAAGAAGGGTAAAGGCTATTTATAGTCCTAACCCTTAGTACTGGTTGAGTTCAATCTAATCTAAGATCTGACCTAACCTTTCTGATGTAGCATGGACCAAAGCAGAGTGGGGCCTTGTGCGACCCCCACAAATCTCAGAATTAACATTAAGTTTCATATTAGTCTCCTATCAGTGACACATGCAAGGCGAATTGTTTAACATGATACAGTGTATGTGTGCATACTAGCTACAGCATATATAAGGGTGTCAATTCAAACAAATTCATAACCTCATTAAACCTTTTGTTCCCATTCTATATGTAATAATATTGATAGGAAGAACATCTATCTTATTTGTTTTCCTGAGGTCTAAATAATCACATAACAAGCCTAATACAGTGCTTGACATTTGAAGTCTTCTGAATAAATGTGAATTGTATCATCAATGTCATTATGATTACAGAATCATGATTGACTAGAATCAAAGGTGTCATTTTCTCAAAACTCTTTGTGGATCAGCTTTGTCTTGGTTCTAATTCATTTATTGTTCTATATCTGAAACACAGTTCCATATCTGGTATTACTTCCACCCTCCATCAGATGACGTAATCCAGCTTGGAACACACAGTGGAAATCTCTGAGAAATTTAGTAAGTTTGCAGACATGCACTGTGTTGAATCAATGCTGGGATATGTCACAGGAGACATTAATGTGTCATCAGATTTTACCTAATTACCAATGACCATTACAGTCTCAGTTTTTCAAAACTTAAGGTGAAGACAATGGACCTGCTTGCTAAAGAGCTCCCCTGGCTTTTAATTTCCTAAATAATAAAAGGTGTTTGCTTACTCTGTGGCAATTGTTGAAAGAGAAACTCATGCATCTCCCAAGGCTACTGATACTGAAGCAGTACTGATATGGCTTACATTTCAGTAATGTGTACAAAATTAGTGGCAAAAGACATATCACAGATGAAAAGAAAGAATATCCCAAGACACTGCACAAAAGCCCTTTCCTTATGAAAGACTGAAATAAAGTTACTATAGCTGGACCAAAAAACAAGCAAACAATAATTATCAAGACAAAATGAAAAGTATGTAATAGAGCAGTATGCAAGGAATGTTGGATAAGCCAGAGAAGGACTGTGGTACTAACCTGAAAGCTGAAGCCTATGTGAGTTGGCAGTGTAATTTTCATTTGAGAAACATGATTAATGAATCATTCCAGAAAAGGGAAGTGTATATACCTAGTGTCCAGATGACTTATATTCTATGAATTTTTAGGGCCAAAGAGTAGGAAATGACCACCACCCAGGACCAAGATGGTGTTTTTACATTATCAATTTATTACTAATTCAATAGTTATATAAGATAACTTCAAAAGGTTTTCTTTTTTTTTTTTTTTAATTTCTCCATGGGCAGAAGAAAGAAACCAAAAAAACATTTACCTACAAAAATGCTGTGTGAATCAAGGTCCAAATGACCTTAATCAACTGGCCATCCACACCCTGTGCAGAGATAGGGAAATATAGTCCTGACTATGTTAATATCGTGGGTAGAATGCGGCACATTAATATAGGAGGCCTTCTTTAAGAAGAATTAAATGCCCCATAACACAGAATATCTCAGGAAGAGGAAAAAAATGCTATTTATATTTAGTTACCAAATACTGACCTAAAATTGGTAAAGTGTTAAACCTGATATCTGCTTTCAGAAAAGGAAAAACACAGACTAGTTATGGGAACTGGCTTCTAATCTTGGGTACGTTGTGGTCCCGAGCAAGCCACAGAACCTCTAAGTTATAGTTTCTTTTTCTGCAAAATGAAGATACTAATGCTGACTTAATTGAATTGTATTAAGTTGAAACAAGGAAATAACACATCAAAAGCTGAGTAGACTACCTGATACATAAAAATCTCTCAGAAACTGTAATCGCTCAGAAACTGTTTTTATTAATTTGGGTAATGAACTAAATTTCTCAGTACAAGGTATAAGTAAAACATTTCTCCTTATAAAATATTGACTGAATATCTCAACTCTGAAGTCACTGCATGTCCATATTAATGTCTATCCAAAGAACCAAAACAACACATTCTGTTTTTTTAACTTGTCTGATCAAAAGCAAACCAGTACCTCATTCAACTTGGATGTTGTGGATAACACCACCTGTCTATCTTTCTTACAGCTGTCAGAAACAAAGTTTAGATCCACTTCCCAATTTTTACCCCAGCTAGTATGTGATCACGTCTGTATTCAAAATGTTTTAGCTGTTCTAAGGGGTACTTTTATTCTAAGAGATAAGTATATTTACATAAATGCATATATTTTCTATATTTGAAAACAATAAGTTTATTGTTTCTATATAAACAAACAATAAGTTTTACTGAGGGGGGATATCTGATCAGAATTAGCATTCAAATTATTTGAATATAAAATAAAATTCAACATTTGGAAGGAAAAAAGAAATGAAAAAGAACTTCACATATGTGAAAAGAATGAGTTCCAACACTTAACGGCTTTATTTTTAAATCTTATTAATCTAGAATAATTACGTGACATTTCAAACCTTGCCTCTGAAATCCACAAATACATAAACACACACGGTCTGTAGAGTACTTATATCTTAAATTGTATATAAAATATGTTTCTGTTTATATATTCTAGTTAGAGAAGAAAACACATCTGAGATATCCAAATAAAATATCAAAAAGTTAAAAATCTTCAAATTTTAAAAAATGCTCAAATTTGCTTTTCAAGTTTGAATACTGAATGTATTATTTTAAAGCTTTTCATGACCTCCTTCCTTGCAAGCCTAGTATTTTTGTTAGGTAAGATATCAACCCTAATGCTCCATGACCGGTGCTATTTATAGAGGTGTGGGTGACAACTGTAAGCTAGTGGGGCTTTTGACATAGCAAAGAACAGTTTCCACATGTAAAAATTCAGAGAAACCTCTTCTCACTGCCCCAACACACAGATTTGTCAGCCTCTCATCTCCCAAATTCACTCTCTGTTCAGTATCATTGATCAAGATAATTATTTAAAAATCCTACTTTAAGCCAGCACATTAACTCTCAATGGCCTGTCAATTTCCATTCTTCAATTTTCTAGTTGATAACTATGGGAAAATGGTAGCAATACCTTCAGCAGTGATCTCAGTCATGGTGGGTAGAGGAAGGAAAAGGCAGGTGAAAGGTTCCAGTTAAGTGGCACTTCGCAGAGTATGGATTGGAGAACTTTGGTGGGGGTTCTGTCAGAAAACGTGAGGGCTCTTCGTCTTCGTTTTACTGGTTGTTTCTGCTGCTCCTTTGTTGTCCTGTTGAACTTTGTCTCTTCTCTACGGAGTTCTCCCCCTGGAAACAACCTGAGCCCTTTCCAAGCAGCACTTGTGGCTCAGCAGAAGTATCAGCTTCGAACAAAAATAGCCTCATCTCCCTAAGACTCTTTGCCACTTTTTTTTTTTTTTTTGGCACTCTAGGGGAAAACACACACACACACACACACACACACAATTCTCTACCCCCAAAGACAGGCAAAAAAAAAAAGGCAACGGAGTTAAAGAGAACTAAGCCCCCGCTGTTTCCCAAAGATAATTACAGACCGTAGGGTCTATGTCAGAAAACATGAAATAAACAGTTGAAAGTAACCTTATCTGTGATAGCTCAGATTTATTCTTAGTGCTCTTGATTCTCAGAACATTCTTCTTCGCCCTATTTGGTGTGGGGAGGGTCCTGAAATGTCTACCAGAGGCAAAGGGAAGGCTAATCTTTAGTCACTTTATTCAAGTTGACTCATTAATGGTCTAAACCTGCGTAACAAGTTCAGTGACTTATATAAGACTACAATTAAAATTGTAGCTATTAAATACTGATGATTTCTTTCAGGAAATTAATATGTTCAAAATATTAGCCAATAAGAACTAAGCAATGTGAAGTATATTTACACTATTAAAGTGATAACTAGATTTTTCATTCTCTGAAATACTTCACTAAAAAAAAAGTCTGAATTTATTTATGCAGTAAAAGGAAGGGAAAGTGACATAAAAGTTAGAATTGCAGCCCACATTTTAGTAAAATTTTCACCATTTCCCTACCTCAACTTTAGAAAAAATAAAATGAAAAGGATCATAGCAGCTAACAATTAGCCAAATTGGCTGATTAGCATTTCACCTTCCCACTCCTAGACAGGTGTTAATGAGCAGAGAAATATTCAATAGTTGGTGGTTGGAAGGAGAAGGAGAATCAAAGGGCATTGATAATCACAAACTCTAGTCAATTTGTGATTAATCAAGGGTTGACTATACTTATCTTCTATTTCATTCTCAAGTTCAACTCCAAATGCTTCTTATGTAAACTTTTATTCTTATTTTCTATTTTTGATTTCAAAACTTCTGGAATTTAAAAATCATAAAGCAAGTCCATGTACGTGGTTCTGGCATATGCGACTCAGAACACTGAGACAGCTGTTTCCATTGATGTCATTCATGTGAGCAGCTCTGCCTTTCTCTTTGGCTTGTTCCTTGCACAATAGAAAGTGTGTATATATCAGATGGATAAGTAAGTAATCTTAATTCACAAAACAAGAAACAATTCTAGGTAACACAATTTTATACAAGTTCTAAAACTTTGGAGTAGATCTAGATAGAGGATTTTGACTACAAGAATACCTTTTCCAAGAGGTAAGTCTCTGTTGCCCAAAAGGGGCTGACTACAAACTAGGTTCACCAACAAATGGAAAAATGCAAATTCACAGCACCTTATTGGAGCACTAGCTGCTTTCACTTTCTAATGCCAAGAGTAAGTAAATAAAAGTGTAACTCTCATTCTACCCACAAAGCCTTCTCCATTCAATAGCACTACAGATGCTTCACATCTTCATTGGTCAATCACTTTCACTGTAGGTAATGGAATAAATAATACTAACTTATGTAACAAATTAAGAATTTCTACTAGACAGAACCAAGATAAAATGAACTAACTTAGAGGGGGTGAGTATAATTTCAAACTCTAATTTAATATAGGGACTCCTTGGTGGAGCAAGGATTAAGTCTGTTATCAAGTTACCTCCAGCCATTGCCATATGAGTTCAATCCCTACCAGGGAGCTGACCCACATAGTACAGCAGACCTCTCCTGTCTTGCCTACTGCTTCCCCTCCATTTTGTTCCCCCACTCTGTCTCTAGTGCATTCTCTAAAACCCAGGCCACCTGCCATATCTCTGGCCTACTACCCTAAGTTCTAAGCATAAATAAATAAAAATAAATTGTTTTTAAAAATCACACATGAACCTTTATTTAATACAAATTTGTAAAATGACTAGAGAAAAGGCACTAAATTGCTAATGATTGACACTTCCCAATCACTAATTTTGTTAATAGATTCGGGAAGGAAAAAGAGTAAAAAATATTTTAGCCAATAAATATGTTTAAGTTTTTAAAACCCACTTGTTAGATGAATAGACAGGTTCAGAAATCAGTACATTCCTCATTTAAGAAAAGTTAGTAGAACTATTTCAGGTTTCCTAAAGTTAATTTGTGAGCTATATGTTTGTGTTTCAAATTGAAGCGTGAAGTTTACCAAAACAAGGAACTCACATTTTCTAAAACTAGATAGCGCTTTCTTCAGGACATTCAAAGAATAAAACTTGATAGCAATACCTCTGTTTTTTGTCTTTTTTCCCCCCTTTTTCATTTTTAAAGATACTAATATTAAAGGACTATACTAGGTTATTGTACTATTCACCATGACGGGAAGTGGTAGTTCTCACTTTTCAGTGATAGCTTCTAAAGAACTCTCACAATTTCCATTTCTGGAATATTAGCACAGGTAGACTTATCCTAGGTCTTTTGTATACTAGAACAATAATAAACAGGGGTATTAGTAGCTGACCTGGTCTATATAATTAATTCAGTGATAAATCATGAACATTTGTTCACTTATGAAATGTTGCATCTAGCCTACCATGACTCTCCAATCTGATTATATTGATTATTACTCCTTTTCACTACGTTTTAAATATCCAAGTTAATAGAGAGAAATATTAATCCTTAAATATATTTTTTTTAAATCTGCCTACTCTCTCAGCTATTATCATAAACTAAGTCAGTATCTGACTCTAAACAAGATACTTTCATCCACATTGAATTTCAGAACAATAACATACTATTCAGGAGGCAGTCACTGATTTCTATCAAAAAATCATAAACTACAAAGTAAAAGTATTTTAAAAAGTCATGGGCCCTCCCTGGTGGGGTTAAAGCACAGCACTAAGAAGCTAAAACCACTTCAGCATGAGTTCAGTCCCTGCCCCAGAGGTGACCCACAAGGCATGGAAGACCTCTCCTGACCCACCCACTGCTCCCCTCAGCACAGTACTTCATCAGTAACCCTGTTCTGCTCCCCACTTTATTTCTGTTGAATCCTCTCAATGTCCCTACACCTCTGGCTTGCACCCCAGTTCTGTATGCATAAATAAATAAATCTTTAAAAAAAGATACTTCACTATCTTGTTCAATGCCAATCCATTTGTCCCATAGAGCGAGAGAATACATATATGCATATATGCATATAATGGGAATAAATATTTACTTACCACTAGTCATCTATTTCTCAAGGATGGATATATTTGAGAGCTGTTAGTTTTCCTTAGAAACTGTTTTTGCTACTCCTCAACGTCTTCTCTTTTCTAATATATAGACACAAAAGCTGATACTGGAAAACATAAGAATTGGCATAGGGCACTCACTGGTGGCACAACAGGTTAGGATGCAGTAATGCAAAGCTGCAGCCTGCAGTACAAGTTCAAACCCCCACCCAGGAGGTGATCCACATGGCATGGCAGATCTCTACTATCTTGCCTGCTGTTCCCCTCAGCAGTGTGCTTCGTTGATCTGCCTATTCTGATCCCCACTCTGGTTCTGGTGAATCTTCTCACTGCCCCTACACCTCTGGCCTGTACTCCAGTTCTGTATGCATAAATACACAAATATTAGAAAAAAAGAATTGGTATAAATAAAAGTAAAATAAAAAAAAAACCACTTGTACAATATTATACACTGAAGCAGAGTGCAAACAAATTTGTAGGACATATAACTGGAATAAAAGTGCTCTTCACTTGAATCTTAAAAAAATAATGAGTATAACTTTTTTATGGCCCTGACTTTTAACATTAACTTTAGTAGAAGACAAAGATAAATAAATGGACAACTGGAATGATTTTGGATAGAAGAGGTGAGAAATAGTGTGGCATAATGTAAGATATGATGTTTGAGTTTATGGAATAGAAGCTACTGCTTCAATGCCTCTGGTGTAAATTACCAGGAGAAATATATGTAAGAGAAAAATGCTTTACTTCTAGCTTTTTAAGGGAAGAAAAAGTTGGCAAAACAAACTAGATATAGAAAAATAAATATTTACTTTTAAACCTTAAAGTGAAGAGATAAAACATGAAACTACAAATGTTCAAAGTGAACTTCAGGGTTACCTGATTTTATTTGCTTTCATCTGAACTTGAAATTTCACCACATGACCCAGAAATTCCTCTGAAGCTCACTTGATAAACTCAGTCTTCAGAATTACCAGAAAAGGCTGAATTGAACTATTAGTTCATTAATCTTACTTCATCTCAGTGCTGCTGTTCACTTCATTTTAAATTGTTTTGTGTTCTATTTGTGTCATGGAAAATCATTCCGGCTTACTTCTTTCTCTAAATGGCCTGTGCTCATTTCTTTAACCAAGGCTCAAAGTCGTTCCATAGGTTTGGCTTACGATCTGATTATTTAGAAACTGTGTAATCCAGTTGGTTTCAAATGACAGGAGGCATTCCAGTGCAATTAAAAACGTTCCTCTCTTTAACTCTGACTCATGAATAGCTGAGTCTCCAATATCAGACTTCTTTCCTCACACACATTTGACATTGTCAAACATTCTCTCAAATATTTGCTTGCGTCAATCCAGTCTTTGGTTAACAAAGGCAATGGATGCCCCTTCCTTCTCACTGATTCCCTTCTCCTGAAGAACTGGCTGGTCTGCTCCACTGTCCTCTTTATAAGAATCTGCAATACCCTACAGGAGGTGGTCCTGATGAAGTCCATATTCAGAGCACTGCTTTCCTCTCTGCAGCTTCTCATACATGACCTTCAGTCTAGTTTTAGATGCTGATTAAAAACGACTTATGATGTATGCTTCTTTTCTTTTTCTTACCGAAGCATTAGTACCTCTCTTATAAAAATGAAATATATACTAGCTTGTTCTTCCATGCATATTTCTTTTCTCTAAAAATATTTTAAATGGATCTATCGATTTGCTAATTGGAAAAAATCTCCTCAACATCATGTTCTTTTTATTCTGATAGAGTAATATAATCTGTTGTAGCTGGTTTATCACTATGAAATACCAAGTGGAGTCACTGCATCTGTGAACTTACTTTTAAATAAGGAACACCTTGTATTTATTAATTCCACAGCTCAACAAATATAAT